ACACACCAAAATTAACTCAAAATGGATTAAGGACCTGAATATAAGACCTGAAACAATAAAATGCATAAAAGAAAACATAGGAACTAAGCTCAAGGACCTTGGACTTAAAGAGGATTTTATGAATTTGACCTCAAAAGCAAGGGAAATAAAAGCAAAAATAAATGAATGAGACCACATAAAACTAAAAAGCTTCTGCTTAGCAAAACATACCGTCAACAAAGTAAAGACACAACCATCCGAATGGGAAGATATATTTGCAAGCAACATCTCCGATAAGGGCCTAATATCTAAAATATACAAAGAATTCATACGACTCAATAACAACAAAAAAGCAAATGATCCAATCAAAAAATGGTCAGAGGACCTGAATGGACACTTCTCCCCAGAGGACATACAAATGGCCAACAAATATATGAAAAGATGCTCAACATCGCTAGCTATTAGGGAAATGCAAATCAAAACCATAATGAGATACCATCTCTCACCTGTTAGAATGGCTATAATCAACAGGACAAGCAATAACAAATGTTGGAGAGGACCTGGAGAAATAGGAACCCTCATACACTGCACATGGTACTGCAAATTGGCACAACCACTATGGAAAACAGTATGGAGGTTCCTCAAAAAACTCAGAATTGAGCTACCATATGATCCGCAATCCCACTACTGGGTATTTACCCCAAAGACTTGAAAACTCATATCTATAAAGATATTTGCACACTGATGTTCATACCAGCATTATTCACAGTGGCCAGGACATGGAAGCATCTATCTATGATAGATGATGTGGCACATATATACAATGGAATATTACTCAGCCATAAGAAGAGATGAAATACTGCCATTTGCGACAATATGGATGGAACTCAAGATAATCATGCTAAGTGAAATAAACCAGACAGAAAAAGTTGAAAATCACATGATATTTATATGTGGGATATAAACCTAAGAGCAACAGATGAACAAGACAAACAGATACTCAGGGACATGGACAAATGGACTAGTGATTACCAGGGGTAGGGGGTGGTAGAAGAGGGGGGAGATAGATGGAGTAAAGAGGGTCAAATATAGGTGGTAGGGGAAGGGTGAAGTGGGTAAAGGGGATCAAATATATGGTAGCTGAAGGAAATTGGACTTTGGTGGTGAACACTCAATAGAATATACAGATGTCAAATTATAATGTACACCTGAAAATTATATGATTGTATTAACCCAATGTTACCCCAATAAACTTAATTAAAAAAAAAAAGGAATGCTGAGTTGAAAGTCAGAAGGCTGAGTTCTAGCTGTGCCTCCATCTAAGCAGCACTGAGTCCTGGGACAAGCCAATTAGCCTCTTTGATTCTTATGTTTTGAAACATAAAATAGGTTTAATATTATACTACCTAACTCATGAATAGTGTGTGTACATAAATTCATTTTACCCATTCAACCAATAGTTGTTGAGCACCTACAAAGTCTAGAAAGACATGGTCTTTGCTCTCAAGGAGATTAGTTACTACATTACATCATAATTCAACAAGCCTCTTGAATTTTAATGGTAACTCAAAGAACTTAGTAATACTGCAAAATATTCATCAATCAGAATTCTTATGGTATAAAGTGTTCTAGTTGGCCTAGAGTTTGCTAGAACTCCTTTTTTATTCAAAGCTTTGGTCAACATTTAAAAATAGATATTAGTCAACTGTGTTTTCATTTAAGTTTTATTTTCAAAATACATGTACTATATATAGGCAAACCTTGTTGTACTACACTTCACTTTATTGCACTTCACAAATGTTGTGTTTTTACAAATTGAAGGCAAGACCCTCCACTTGCTTTATTATGATACTTGCTTTATTGCAGTGGTCTGGCACTGAGCCTGTGATATCTCTGAGATCTGCCTGAAGTTTAAAAAATCGCCTGACACACCCCTCTCCGCTCCCAATTCCCATTCCCATAAGTAACTTACTTAATTTCTGCTATTTATGTCAATATTTCTAAATAATCTTCCTATTTCTACATTTTTTCCATTTTTAAAGACATTATCCTTTGAACACCATTAGTAATTTGTCTCAGGTAATTCAGGCTGTGAGTGGAATATTCAGGATTTGAATTTATATCTGTTTCCAAACCCATGCTCTCAATCCCTAGCCATATGACCTCTTGAAGACAACACTCACTCAGTTGGTATAATTCCACTTATTATACTTAATAAATATAAAATATATTGAGCTAGATAGCACAGGTAAATTAGTAAGACATGGTCCCTATCTCCAAGTCAATCACTTTACACTGCAAAGGCACACAAATAATTTGAATATATTGTGCTTTCATAACTGCTTGAAAAAGGCAAAAAGGTCTGTCAAAATTTGAGGGATAGAGAGGAGAGATTAATGATCTAAGGAAGATTTTTGAGGGAGATAGGTCTTGAGCTAGTTCAGGGTTCAGGGGCACCAAGCTTAATACAGTCCAACCTGCCTGAAGGCTGGGTACTAGATCTAACGGGTGTTAAGTAAACACATAATTATAGACAAAGCAGTCAACTGTGCATGGTACTGAGACAACAGAATCATAGTATATAAAAATTGTCCTCACCAGTGCAGCCAAATAACGAAGCACCTTGTTATCATTCATTAGCATTTTCATAACATCTTTTTTCGGAGCTTTTGGAACAAGAGCAAAGCAATTCTGAGCAGAGTCTTCAACTAGTCCATAACCATTATAGGGAGGTAATTCCTAAAGAAATACAGGAAGCAAGAAATAAAGCAGATGTTTTTTGTGTTAAAAATTACTTTAAAAGTAACTGTTTCTTTAAAAATATCTACAAAACATTTATTCAAAAGCAATTTCTGTATATACAAATACAGTCACCGTATATTCTGTTCCTCTTTATAGATTTTATATCATGATCACTCTTCATAGAAGTGATTGATAATGCTACAAAGTAACCCTCAGGTCTAGATTGAAATTATTGCTGATGTCCACTGACCCTTTACTGCCAAAACGACTTGGCCCTATTCCCAGTCTCAATCCTGGCTCCTGTGGTCATCCCAGCATGGTGAAGCCCGTGTTTCTTTTTTTGTCTGTGATTTCTTTGTCCTAGGGTGTAGCCCTCAGTCTGACATATCTGGAAACTGTTTTCTCAGTTTACCCAAAATATGTATGTATGTGGTGTGTGTTGGAGTTGGCAGGAAGTGGGGATGGGTCATGACTTGGTTCTTGCTACTTTTTTCCTATCTGCCTCCATATTTCTAATACTTTTATTTCTTGATTTTTGCCTCACAGAAGAGGAATGGCCACCATCCTTTACTGAAAATTCAGACCCCCTGTCCACACAGGGCTCTCCTTTCCTAGTGAAGGAGCAAAATCAAACAAATTTCAGATGCAAAGGTTATTTGGTGAGTTAGTGTGAAAATATAGGATGAGCTTATATTTCTCATTCAGGTTTCATGAAGAGCTGAAAGCATCACTCTAGGGTGTTAAGATTTGTCTCAAAACATAAGTAGTTCGGAGGCTGTTTTTCTTTCTCTCAAAATGCTAAGCAGACTACAGCAGAGTTCTTTTTCTAACTCTTTGCTATGCTTTCTCTGCAAACTCATGTTTTCACTTGTAGATACTGTCCCAAATCTTTACATATATTGTATTCAGGCACTTAAACAAATTTGTGTCTATGATTCCCTGGTCCATCTGTAACAGGGTACTCCTTCAAAAACCCGTGACTCTGCCATGTTCATTCTAGGTATAGTTCTTGGAACACTGACTCTTCACCCATTTCCTGGGGCTGTAGTTAATGTTATCATCATGGTTGGAAGGCGACTAGTTGACACAGTGGATTGACCATGACCTAATTTGCTCCAAGTGCAAAACCATTACTCAATGGATATAGAAGTTGCCATGGATAGGGGGACCTTGGTTTAGATACCAAATACTAGTAAGCTTTGCATTAGTCTGGAGGCTAGGCAAAAATGCACGGTGGTGGAATCTAAACTTGTTTTGCATCTGCATCAACACAAAAATGACAGCAGCCTGGTTGGGAGATGAGGGTGGAGGCTGAGGAATTATGAAATAGGGAGGTAGATGTAAGCTTCAGAGTGCCTTCCTCTCAAATTCTTTTTGTGTTTCAACAGGCTTCTACCTGCTTTTCCTGAATGGCACCTTATTAGCCCTGCTTGGAATGAAGACCTTCCCTAAACATCAGCCCTGATGCCTGGGGTCCTGGCACCAAGGCTCTTGTGCTCCAAACTACTGCTGAGGTCCTATTCCAAACTAGCTGAGCCACTCCTCTGCTTATAAACATCATCATTCCTACTAGATACTCCTGATCATATGACCCAGCCACCAAAGCTCTGCTCAGGCTTTCTTAACAAAATGAGTACACATGGAGCCCAAGAGTCCCACAGTCCCTCACATACTGCTGTTAGGGGTCAGCTCTATAGCAAATTAGCAGTCCTGGTCCTGGTTTCTTCTTTCCTGCCAGCATGTCTCCACAGAGAGTCAGCCAGAGATGGTACACATTTGGCCATTGGATCCCTGTTTCCTTATTCCTGACCTAGCAGATTAGCTTGACCTATGAGTGTCATGATTCTCAAACTGAGTATATCTACTTCATATCTACTTCTGTCCCTGACCATCGGTTTGGCTCTAGCTTTATCCCTTTAGACCCTGCTGCAGCTTCCCATCCCTGCTTTCCAACCACATTGTTCAGGGGTTTAAATGAGTGAAATATAATAACTGAGGAGAGTTAAAAGGTATTTGCTGTTTGGTACGTGGAGATCTTCTACTCATTTCCAGCAAAGACTTTTATGGATAAGCAAAGAGAATTTAGTTGTAATAGAATTACTTATTATAGAGAACTTACTGAAAATAAATTGACCAACACTACAATTAACGTGCCATACCTATGGAGGGAAGTTAGTTTTATTATGCAGAGTGGCTGAGATAGGGCAAAACAAACAAACAAAAATCTACAGTGGTTCTTCAGTTCTCTCTTTGCTCTCTATCCAAACCTTTCCTTCCGTTTCTTTCTTTGGAAGACAGGTTAGGAGAAAAAAAAGATTATCGTAATTAGAATGGGGAGAAGTATTCTAGGAGCTAAAAGCTTTTATCAGCTCAAAAGATGGATCAAAGCCCATTCATTAAGAAAAGTGCATCATTCTGTTACAGTCCGTCCCCATGCTACCTCCTGATTAGGTAAATCTCCTTCTTATAAGAATGTTTGACATTTAATAGAATCACCCTTGCACCTTGCAATGTGACCTTGGGCAAGTCTGTTGGACTGCTATCTCATCCATAAACTAAAGTGGTGGATTAGTTCGCTTAATCAAAATCTAGATCTGTTCCCATGGTATTTTTTTCCTGTATACTCCATTGGATGCTGACAAAAAATGTGGGGGTAGGGGAAAGGTTTTATTATAATTCTTAATCAGTGATTGTATTCATTGGTAAGGAGTTATATCGGGAAAAAAAACTGATAGTAAGAGGTACAGTCAAGCATTGCTTAATGACAGGCATACGTTCTGAGAAATACCTTGTCAGGTGATTTTATGATTGTGAGAACATCACAGAATGCTCTCACACAAATCTAGATGGTACAGCCTACTACATACCTAGGCTATATGGTATAGCACATTGCTCCTAGATACAAATCTGTATACTATGTTACTGTACTAAATACGGTGGCACTTATAACACAATGGTATTTATGTATTTAAACATAGAAAAGGTACCATAAAAAATATGGTGTAAAACAGGGGTCCCCAACCCCTGGCTGCAGACTAGTACTGGTCTGTGACCTGTTAGGAACAGGGCTGCACAGAAAGAGGTAAGGGGCCAGCGAGAGAAGCTTCATCTGTATTTGCAACAGCTCCCCAGTGCTAACATCACCACCTCAGCTCCACCTCAGATCATCAGGCATTAGGTTTTCATAGGAGCACCAGTTCCTGGTGCCAAAAAGCTTGGGGACTGCTGGAAAAGATAAAAAACAGTAAACCTGTACACAGCATTTACTAAGAGTGGAGTTTACAGGAGTGAATCAGTGAGTAAGTGGTGAGTGAAAGTAAAGGTATAGGACATTTTTGTATACTACTATAGACTTTATAAACACTGTACCCTTAGGCTACACTAAATGTATAAGAAAATATTGTTCTTTCTTCAATAATAAATTAACCTCGACTTACTGTAACTTTTTTACTTAATAAACTTTTGAATTTAAAAAACTTTTTCAACTCTTTTGTAATAACATTTAGCTTAAACACACATTGTACAGCTGTACAAAAATATTTTCTTCTTATCCTTATTTTATAAGCTTTTTCTATTAAAATTTTTTTTTAACTTTTAAAATTTTTTGTTAAAAACTAAGACACAAAAACATACTTTAGCTTAGGCCTGTTCAGGGTCAGAATCATCAATATCACTGTCTTCTACCTTCACAGTTTGTCCCACTAAAAGGTCTTCAGGGACAGTAACTGTCAACACAGAGCTGTCATCTCTTATGATAACAATGCCCTCTTCTGGAATATCTCCTGAAGAACCTGCTCTTCTTAAGGAGGTGTCGATCTTTTCAGAAGTATGTCTATGGTGGTTTGCTTGGTTTGTTTCTTTTTTTCATAAGAAATATGCTTATAAGCAGATAAAGCACCATGAACATTCATCTGTATTAATGAAAACCTTTCAATATTGAGGTCCCTGTTTTCAAACTTTTTAAGTAACCTGTGGTCTGCAAAAGCTTCTGCTAAACCTTTCACTGAATTCTCTTGAGAGTTCTTCTTTTTCTTCTTCTGCAGGTTCCTTTTCTCTTGCATCTCCTTTAGCTATGCATTCCAGTTCCAGTTCCAACAACTCCTCATTAGTCAGTTTCTCAGGAACCACTTCCAGGTGCTCCTCAATGCCATCCTCATCCACATCCAGGTTAAAATTGTTTGCCATCTCAACCACAGCCTTGTTGATTTTTACAACCTCCTTATCCTTGGTAAATCCTTTGAGATCATGGATGAATCTCGAGTGTCTTCTTACAGATGCCATTCATACAGCCCATCAACCCAAACTCAAGCAAGGTTCTTGATAAAATCATAGATGTTGTAATCCTTTCAGAATTGCATCAATGCCTTTTCAATGTCTTCCTCAGTTGCAGCAATGGCTTGGTCAATGGGCCTTTTCAGGCAGTAAGCCTTAAAAGCTGCTATCACTCCTGATCCACTGGTTGCATCAAAGAGGTGTTATCTGGAGGGAGAAATATCACTCTGATATTGGGATGAAGATTACCAATAAAGGAGGAGGTCCAGGAGCACTATAAACAATAAGGAATATCTTGACGTGCATGTTATTCTCCAAACAGTACTTCTCCATTTTGCTGAACAGCAATCCTGGAGGGCATCTTGGAAGACGAGCTAGGTCATCCATGACTTCTTATTGCTCCTGTAGTACACTGGCAGTGTGTGCATATTAATATGCTTGAAGGCCTTGGGATTCTCACTGTGCCAGATCACAAAGAGTTTTCGTGTAGCCTGCAACACTGCCCCTAAGCAAAACTATGTTATCCTGACCTTAAAAGCCTTGAAATCTGGCATGGACTTGGCCTCCTTATAGATGAAAGTCCCTTCAGGCATCCATTTCTCGACTATGAAGTTTTCACCCATATTGAATATTGGCTCTGGCAAGTAATTTTTCTCCAAAATCATCTTATCTAGAGTATCCTAAAATTCTTCAATTGCCTTCACATCAGCTCTTGCAGACTCACCACTCACTTTCACATTATATAATGAATAACAATTCTTGAATCATTTAAATCACCCAGAGCTGGCAGTAAATTCACGTCATAGTCAGGACCTTCTTTTTCTTTCAACGTCCTGAACAAACTTTTTGCTTTGACTGTGATCTTCATGGTGCTGAGAGGAATACACTTGTGTCTGGCCTTCTATCCAGATCATTAGCAGTTTCTCCATGTCTGATATAGGCCCTTCTCAAATTTTTGTTAGTCTTGTTGCCTTTGTTCTTGTTCTTCAAGAGTATAGCTACGGTGAAATGAGCCATGTCTGACTACTGAGCAGTAACTATCACTAATTTTCCACCTTTGTAGTCCTTAATCATTTTAAATTTCACTTCCAGGTCAATCACTTGACATGGCCTCTCACTGGCAATATTAGCAGTGGATTTTGTATTTTTTAGGGGCCATGATGAACAGAATAACATGAGATTAAATCAAGCATGAGAAAACGATGCAGTCAAGAGGTAGGGTAAACACAAAATGTATGATGCTGCTGCAAGCATAACACTGTTTTACAATAAACTTTTTAAAAATAGGTAGAACGCATACACTCTAAAATAAAAACAAAAAGTATAATATAGGGAATATGTAAACCATTAACATAGTTGTTTACTATCATTATCAAGTATTAGGTACTGTACATAATTGTATGTCCTATACTTTTATACAACTGGCAGTGCAGTTTGTTTACACCAGCATCACCACAAACATGTGAGCAATATGTTGTACAATGTCATTATGACAGTTATGATGTCACCAGGTGATAGGACTTTTTCAGCTCTATTGTAATCTGTGGGATCACCATTGTATATACAGTCCATCGTCAACCAAAGGGTCATCCTGCAGCGTGTGGCTGTATTATTATCACCCATGCTGGCTTCCAGAAGTGTTATGGCCCCCGGGAACTCATAGCATACCAAACTCCCATTTCTTCTTTAGAATTGTTTTTATGAAATATCAGTTTTAAAAAAGGCTTGCCTAAGATATCACTTGCCTTTTTGGGGAACAAATACATACTTCATAGGCAATCTTCTTCAGCCTAGTTCAAGAGACATATTACATATATATACTTCCTATTTGCTAGGTACTGTATTAGGTGCTAGAAGCACAAAGATGTAAGACATAGTCCCTGTCTTCAAGGAATTTACAGTCTAGTAGAAAAGATTCATAAACAGATACTTTACATAATAGATAAGTGCTAGAGGAGGGAGGCACAGAGTACCCTAGGAACACAGAAGAGGTAGCTAGCCCTGCTTGGAGCTTCAGAAGAGCCTTCTTAGCCTACACTGAGTTTTGAAGAGTAAGAAAGCCGTGTGAAGAAATGATGGAAGAGCATCAGCAAAAGTCCAGGTGAGTAAAGCAGGGTGCTGCACCTGCAGAATCACACAAAATTCAGTATAATGGAGGCTAAGTATAAGCAGCACAGGTAGCAAAAGGGAGAAGGCAGGGAGCTGGGCTGGATCAACTCAATCGTTCTATCCTCCTATTCTAGGCTCCCTTTTGAAAAAAAAGAGCCCAGTGACATTGTTTTACACATCCGGTAGCAACATAGATGAGCCACAGGTATGAACACCCTACTTTAAACATGGGCAACAGAAGAGAGGTTGTATGAGTTGCTCCTGACCCAAAGAGGTGTAACAAACATCAGTGCTTTCAGTCTATGGTACTGCACTGCCTTAATACTTCAGATACTTCTTGAATTTGTTGTATAATGTATAATTTTTAAAACATGCAATTCTCAGTTGAAACTCTAAATATGTGGCTGAGCCACTCTGAAGGCTCAAGTTTATCAGTTTACTATTTTGGTGCATTAAAAGCACCATGAACTTACTCTCAGACCAGAGTGAACTTTTGCGGTGCTCAGAACTGAATTTTGTGGTTCAATGTGATTCTAAGGAATGCTGTATTGCAATGAAAGAAAGCCGTCTTCCAACATCTTCAATTAATGAGTTTTTGTTGTGCTGTCAACCAATGTTTAAGTAAAAAGAGTTGATAAATAGGCAAGAAACAATGAAATGCCCTAGGTGTCTGAAAGGTTAAAAGATGTATTTTTTAAAATCAAAATGAAAAAAAAAATTATAAAAGTAATACAAGACTTGGTATAAAAAGAGAATTTAAAACCACACAGAGTATAAAAACAAAGGTCCCTTGTCATTTTCTACTTTCCTTCCACCACCCCATTCCCACATGTTAAACTAACCACTGCTAATAGTACGGGTAGATATCCCTCCAGGTCTTTTCTCACTATATATAAACAGATATTGTACATAGTAATTTACAAAAATAGCATCATATCATGTATACACATTCACTTTAAAATGTTATGGACACTCTTCCATGTTAATATGCATAGCCTTACTTTCTCTTTTTTTTAAACCAGTCTTATAGTCTTTTAATTATACAGATATTCTAAAATTTATTCTATCTCCTTATACTTTATATAAATAATGGTATAATACACATCCTTACATATATCTTTTTATAGTCCCCAAACCAGATTTTCTGGGGCAAGAAATATATTTTATTCTGAAAAAATTATAATGATGACAAACTGCCCGTCAGAAAGGTTTTTCTTATTGGCTCTCTCATTAACAATATATGAAAAAGTCTATATCTTCACACCAGGGCAAATATCAAATATTATGAGTCTTTTTAAATCATATAGATCTAAAACCTCATTATTTTCATTTCTATTTCTCTATCAATTAAGTTAAGGGTCTTTTCATATGTTCAATAGCCATTTGTATTTCTCCTTTTGTGAACTGCATTATTTCATTTGCTCTGTCCATTTTCTAACTGAGTATTCACACGAGTTTTCTTTTTCTTTTTCTTTTTTAACTTTATATTAAATCAATTCCCTAACTACATTCAGAACTAGTATTCCATCACCTGTTTTATAGGAGGTGGTTCCTTCTTGCTCACATCAACACGTGGTAAATCGGAGATTCCAAACTTTTCTTTGTAATACTGTCGAGTAAATGGATCACAATCATAAATGAAGAAAGTTCTCCCAAGGATGGTGAGTGGTTTCCCAACGATGAAGTCTTTGGCGGTGTACCATTCTAACACCTCTTGATCAGAAATTTCTAGCACACACTGAGGGAAGTCCTCTAACATGAGATAGTAGGGAGAGAGGAAGGAAAAATGAATGAGGATGGGAAGAAAGACTGACACAGCAGCCAGGCACTCTTGAGAACCTGAGGGAGTGCAGTCTTTAGCTCTCGTCAAGGGTCAGGGCCTCCTCTACATTCCCAGAAGAACATAGGGCTGTGTATTTCCATCTGTTGACAGGACACATAAATATTATCCCAGATGGTTTTTGTAAAGTCTCTCTCCCATATTCAACTCAAACTATCACTACAGGTCACTAATCTTAGCAGAATTAATGCTCAGAAAAAATCATCACTGGAAGAAATATATGTCTTTCCATAAGGATAGGGTATTAGATCTAAGATGACTCCAAGTTATTTAGTTCAACTGCCCACCCATTTATTCATTCATCCAGCAAATTATTAGTGATCACACATATCGTGTACTAGGTGCACTGCTAAATACTGAGAGTAATACAATTAGTGATATAGATAAAATTCCTGCTCTGATGGAGAAAACATTCTGTTCGGGGTAACAGATAACAGCAATTACACAAATAATGGTTTCATTTCAATTGTGATCACTGAGATTAGGACGGTCTGACCTAGCCCTGTGGCAGAAACAGTCGGTGAGATGATTACAGTAATTCAAATATGTGGGGGAATGAACAAATTTTGAAATGTAGAATCAACCTTGCATTTTCGGAATAAATCCAATTTTGTCACACTGTTTAATGAAATTAAGAGTCGACTTAGTTTAAGATTGATTCCCTGCAGCCTGGCCTCCATGGAAACCATAAGATAGTCAATTCTGGTAACGTGCCACATCATATAGCTTTAACCGTAAATATTGGCCCCAGAACTCTGATTTCAGGGGACATGAGAGATAGGCTGATATTCATTCTCCTAATTATTGCTAAGATGTAAAAATAGGGAAGGAGGCTAAGGTTCTGCTATAACAGACAGAAAGGCTTGAACTCAGGCCCTTGATCATACAAAAGGAAAGGCTGGTATTTTCCCAGTCATGCATCTTAAAAGCCCCTTCTTCTCCCATTGTCTAGTGCTTACTAGATCCCTTTCAGTTACCCCAGGAAGTGATGGACATTGGGGGATACAGCTCATGATTCCATGAATTTCCCTCAGTAAATAATGTTTCAGGAGATCTGGGTGGGTGGGGTTGGGGGTGGTGTGTGTGTGTGTGTGTGTGTGTGTGTGTGTGTGTATTTTGTCCAGGCATTCATCTTTGTTTGCTCAGCAATTATCTTTTTTTATATACTGCTGTATATAAAAAAATATCACTTACTGATATTTTGTTTAGGTTTTTTCTCATGGTGTCTTCGGTTCAGTGGTCTTTTTTAATAAATTAATTCTTTTTCTTTTCTACAAAAGAATCTGCATTAAGCTTAGAATTATATTTTAAATATTTCTTTAAATATTTGGCAAAACTAAAAAAATTATCTGGACTCGGTATTTTCTTTATGTAAAAACTTTTGACTAATTTTATGATATTTTGTTTAGGTTTTTTCTCATGGTGTCTTCGGTTCAGTGGTCTTTTTTAATAAATTAATTCTTTTTCTTTTCTACAAAAGAATCTGCATTAAGCTTAGAATTATATTTTAAATATTTCTTTAAATATTTGGCAAAACTAAAAAAATTATCTGGACTCGGTATTTTCTTTATGTAAAAACTTTTGACTAATTTTATTTGTTTAATGTTAGACATTTGATTTTTATTTCTTCTTGAACAAGTTAAATTTTTCCAAAAATTTGCTCATTTCACCTAAGTTTTCAGATGTATTGGCATAAGGTTGTTGGTATTATTCTATTACTTTTTGTTTAATGCCTAATGCATTTTAAGTATGCCTCCTCTTTTTATTTTTAATATGTATATGTGCCTTCTTTCATTAATAAATCTTGTAAATGATTTGTCATTTTATTAACCCTTTTAAAGAAATAACTTTTGACTTGACAAATCTGTTACTTTTATTTTCAATTATATTATTTTCAGGCTCTTATTGTATTATTTCCTCCCTTTTAATTTCTTTAGATTTATTCTGTCATTCTTTTTCTAACTTCTTAAGAAAAATGCCTAGTTTATTTTTTGTCTTTCTTTTTTCTTAAATAAGCATTTAAGGCTATAAATCTTCCTTCAAGTACCACTTTAGATCTATCTAAAAGTTCTGAGGGAATTTTTGTTATCATTCAGTTCTAAGTATTTTCTGATAGTATTTTTTTATTCATAAATTATTGAGAAATGTAATTTTCAGTTTCCAAATACATGAGTTTTTTGGTTATATTTCCAAAACTGAATTCTAACTTGTTTTAAAATCAGAAAATATGGTATAAAAAAGCCCAGTTTTTAAAATTTGTTGACTAATCAGTTTTTTTAAGTGTTTTGTTTGTTCTTGAAAAAATGGGAATTCTCCAAGTGTTGATGCATATAAATATTTATTAAATCAATGATGATAATTATATTGTTCATATCATATATGTGCTTATTGATTTGTCTTTCTGATCTAACAGTTATTTTAAAATGTTTTAATGATGCCCATTATTTTGATGGATTTGTCCATTCTCTTTACATAATAGTGCTACAAATTTTTGCTTTATGTGTTTCAAAGCCATGTTATTAACTGCATACAAGTTGTGAATATGTAATGATCCTCTTTTTCCCTAGGAATGTCTTTTTTTGTCCTAATGTCTATTTGTATTATAATAATATAGCCTTATCAGTTTCTTTTGCTATTTGTTTATGCATCTTTTTTAACCTTTTTATGTCCCTATATCTTAAGTCTGTTCTTAAAAAATAACATTTCCAAAATTAGTTGTTTTTAAAAAACAAACAAACACATAGACACAGAGAATAGTATGGTGGTTACCAGAGGGAAAGGGGGAATTGGAGGAAGATGAAGAGTGTAAAGGGCATCAAATATATGGTGATAGAAGGAGACTAGACTTTGAGTAGTGAACACACAATATATTATACAGATGATGTATTAGAGAATTGTATACCTGAAAATAACATAATATTATTAACGAAAGTTACCCCAATACATTTATCTTAAAAAATACAGTTTTTAATCCTATCATCCCTCCCCTCCTTTGCTATTACTGTAATATATTTTAATTCTACTTTGATATTTTTTTAACCCCCATAAATTCAACATTGTTAATTTAGTTTGTATAGTCAATGTTCATTTAGATTTATCCACACTTTGCCAATTTCTTTCTTTATCACTTCTTACAGCTCAGATCTTACTTCTGGAATCATTTTCTTCCTACCAGAAGTACACTCAAGAATTTTTCTAATAAGGGTCTGTTGTTAATGAAATCTGTTCTGTTTGCCTGGGAATGTATTTCACCTTCTTTAAAGCCAGTTTCTCCAGGCATTAAATTCTATTTTTTCTCAGCATTTTGAAGATATTATTAAACTGCTGCTACTAAGAAGTCGGCTATCATTTTAGCTCCCACTCTGTGTGGGTAATTTTGTTCTTTGGTTGCTTTTATGATCTTTTTGAATTTGGTGTTCTTAAGTTTGACTATGACATATCTAGGTACAGATTTATATTTTTACAACTTTATTTAGGTATAATTGACTGTAATAAGCTATACATATTTAGAGTGTACAACTTTCATGTTGTTTGACATATGTACTCAGGAAAAGGCAAGATCAAACAACGAAAGCCAGTCTCAACAATAATTAACAGACTTTATGAACCTAGTGCCTTGGGTTCAACAGCTGAGTAGTAGGAGGCTTTTGGTAAGCCAAATATCCTTCTTTTGGCATTACTCACCACATATTGGTAACTAGCAATTACCTTCAACAAAGAAAGAACTTGTAGAATTTTTAGCATGAGAACTTTTAGATATTTAACTCCATTTATCATAAAAATATAATTTTTATTTATCTTAACTATTAAAAGAAGGCCCTGACAGAAGGAACTTTGAAAGATACTCCCATAATTTCCTGTTATTGTCCAACACTCTCTGACTAGCTACTTGCTCTTGGACACCCCTAAGCATACCATACTTGTTCCCAATTCCCAACTCTCACTCTTATTTTTCTCTCTAAAGTTCTCTCTCCTTTTGTTCTCTGCCATTCTAAATCTGGGTCTAATCCCAGCTCTCCCACAGAAACTTCTTTAGTCACTCTAGCTCACATCTCTTCTTCTGACACAACTAGTTACATAATCAGATAATCTGGTACACTTGTGTTTTTGTTTAACAGCTTTGTGTATTTACGACCTATCTCCCCAATCACTAGAAGTAATTTAAGGACAGAGATTCTAGGTCTGGAAGTTACATTTTCATTTTATACTCCACAGCACTTAGAACACGAAATAGTTCTCATAACATATTTAACTCTCGTTTAATTAAATTCAGTAAAAATCATCCATTGGATAAATGCATTTGAGAATCAATTAAACACCACCTCTTTAACACTGCTATTCCAGTTAAAGGAATTACATCGCCGATAGGAGCTTTGCTTTTTTCTGTCCTGCTACTACATGACTAACAATCACTTTCACAGAAAGATAAGTTTCCTTCCTCTTAAAAGGACCCCATATATACCTCTCTGTGTTACTGATAAAACTTTTGTTAAAACTGGAGAAGTTGTAGAAGAGGATGAATACATATTGAAAATTTTAGATGTAGACCTCATTGATAAGGCAGAGACAAACATGGAACCTGAGATTTCAAGGCATTCAGTTTTCGTGACACTTTTTTCATTCTACCCTAAATACATTCCCATTTTTTCTCTTAATCTACTATAAATCTAATGTTTGTTAGCTCTAAATGGCAGGAATTTCAGGCTCATTTAAGCAATATGAAAGGCCACGATTAGTATATTAGTCCCAATGTCTCAAAACTCTAAGGGGGGGTCTACAGGAGGCTAAATATAAGAATGTGGTAGGCAGCGACCAGATTATGTTGAAATAGGGCAGATACAGACAGTTGTTGCTATCTAAAAATACAAGCAATTATTCTAGTTTTTCAAAAAAAGATTTTTAATGTTAACTCTCTTAATTTTAAAATGATTACACAATTTTTACTCCCTTTTAGTCTTTTCTGCTATCTCATTTTCCTCTGCCTCACATGAAGCCATTCTAATGCACAGCTTTTTTTATTGTATGTGCATTATGTATATTGCTTGCGAAATATTTTACTTTATGTAAATGTTATTGCATTATACATCCCATTTTACGTCTTTTTTTCTACACATAATTATGTTTTCAGGATGCACCCATTTGCTTTCTTGTACATTTTGTTTATTGCTTCTAACTACTACATATTTACCAAGCTATACCTTCACCGCATTTTGTTTATCCACTCTCCCAGTGATGGAAATCTCCAACTCCTTTCCCCTAAATAACACTGCATTTTTAAAAACACTTTGTAGGCCAAAAAATATATGTGGGTAGGCTAAATTTAGCCTTCAGACTGCCACTTTGTTTATAATCTCTAATCTCAATTTGTTTATAAGCTCTAAGACAAATTTTTTGTTCAATACCTGGAATTTCTTTTCTCCTAGCTCCAAAAAAACAGAATAAAGGGGAAAAAAATCAATATAAGTTTTACAAAATTCTGTCAGCCATTCGACCACAAGAGATGTCATTACATTCAGCCAAGATGACATTTTTGTAAGAGAAAATTCTTAAACTACTAAGTCAATAACTAAAGTAAGCCTATTTACCCCAGAGAAATATTGATGGATGGCAAGTATCAGCTGTACTTTGTTGCCTTCTCACTTTCCACTCCACTAGGTTATTTTACACTAACAAAGAAAGAGTAAGTGTTGACACAACAGAGCTCCACCTCTATGAGTCATAGACATTCCTATTCTAATCTTAAATTATCCCACATAGAAACGTCTATTTAGGAAGTATTTGAAGTGAGAAGCAAAGTCAGGAAAGCACATAGGAAAATGGTAAGCTACAACTTTGAATAAAAACAAGCTTGTTTTAGAAATGCACTAAAAATCTGATCTTAAGTTGCTTCAGTTCAGAAGCCTTTCTCTTCCACACTTTAATGAATCTCCTACTGCCATTTTGGTTTTGTTTCTTTGATTTGGGTATCAGTCATCTCCACCCGACCATTTCAGAGGCAAATATGGAAAAGGGGCAAGTAAAGGAGGGAATTATGGGAAAGCCATTTTTTGAGCACCTATGAGACCATGGCAAGAACCTCCAAAGTGTAAAGGGCAATGACAACACTGATTAAGAAATGTCTTTGAGATCTAAAAAAGGTCCTAATTATCAGAAGATAAACCAAATCAAACATACTTGCATTCTCCACCAAAACCTTGGGCATGCGCTGGCGGTTCATCAAGAGTGGGAAGGGATCTCGCCCATCATTCCGTTCATGGACCTCTCGAATGTCTACTGTATCATCCATAAGATAGTAATGAATGATGTAGTTCCGACATTCACCAAACATGCTGTCTGTATCATCCCAGATTGCATAGAATCGTAGAACCTTTGAAAAATCCAAAGTAGTGACTTAAATAAGAGCTCTACAAGTAGAGAGTTTAACTTAGCTATTCTGGAATTTATATATCAGACAATAATGAAAAGATTAGCTAGAGAAGCTATGAAGCAATCTCAGATGGTTAAAAAAAAAAGAAATATTCACCAAGATACAAAAACATCTTAAATTATGTACCAGATGACAACAACTGGAAAATATTAAATAATACACTTACAAGTTTATGCTGCAAAAGAATTCACTTTGATCCAAAATATTAGTCAGTGAAAGAGAAGCTGAGTTAAAAGAGCAATGGATCTTTTATACCACAGGTTTCCAACCCCTGGGCCTCGGAAGGGTGCTATTAGGAGTAGGCCGCAGAGCAGGAGGTGAACAACAGGCTAGGAAGCCTGTTGGATCTGCACTTGCACCTGCTCCCCAGCATCACTGCCTCAGCTCTACCTCAGATCATCAGGCATTAGATTCACATAGGAGCACAGGTTCTTGACGCCAAAAGGTTGGGGACCACTATTTATACTGTGGTTTATATGAATTAATAAAGGTACATATGAATGGTTTATACATAATTAGTTTGAAAAGAATTTTCCTTTATTAAGCAGTCCCTTTTTTTTTTAGTTCCATCAACACATCTTCTAGTAACATATCAACAACACAATCTTTAAATACAAAATAACGGAAATATGATTGATATAAAGAATGTCCTTAAAAGACCATGATAGAGCTAGGTAAAATTTTCTGAACTAAAAGTAATTACATGTGTGAGAGAAAAAACAGCAAAGAAGCATTAAGGGTGATCTCTCTTTTCCTTTTCCCTTTAGTACACAAAAGAGAAGACTGAAATCTGTTTCTATATACCAGCCCACAAGTGGGGAGGACAAGAAGGCTGGGACAGAGTTGGAAAATACCCAAAACATTCTGCACTCATACATTAATATAAAATTTAACAAGGAAGCATCTACAATGGAATTTCTGTTAAATCATTATTTTAACATTAGAAACCTATATATAAGGAATAGCTTTGAAATTTCCCAATAATTCATTTAAGTTTTCCCAAAGGATTCTATAAGATTAACTCATATTTGGTAAAGAAGCAATAGGTTGGAAAAGTAAAGTGGGAAGCAGATGGTAGCTGAGGAATTCCTTCAAGATTTAAAAGTTTGGAGCAACTCACAAGACTTAATTCCATAATCTTCTTTGGATCTCTAATATAAAAGTTAGGCATTCCTATACCTCTAACTCTAGATGAAAAGAAAAAGAGCACTGTATCCAAATGGCTACATTATAGATGTAATTTTTCAAAACACACATCTATCAAAATAACTTGCTAAAAAACACTGCCACATTTGGAAACCAGTAAACCTACCCAGGTGCCTGGGTCACTTACTTGTTTGTCAAAGGTGAGAAACTGCTTGAGTTGATCAAAGTCCGATGGGGTGACATACTTACGAAGAGGCTGTTTCCGCAGTTCAGTGTAAGGGTCGAGAGCCATCTTCTCAGGTGGATTTAATTCAATTCCTTGACTTTCCAAAAATTCCTAAATAGTTCAAAATAAATAATGATCATCTTTCTTGAAGCTTTTTAAAGTAATACTAACTGATGGAGTAAAAATAAGTATAATAACTTCGATGCCACTGCCTAGGTTAACCATTAGTTTGCAGCTTGAACATGTCTTAGCAGTTGATCCAACTCTATAATGCAGATTATAATAGATAATTACCTTATTTGTTCTATATTATAAAAATGATAGGCAATATGAAAAGTTCTAAATACAAATTCAGATCAATGAAATTTAGTTAGGTGACCAATCACAGAGTTAAGTCCTAGCATTGCTTACATACACACATCTGAAACCTAACAATAGTTTTAAATAATATATAATTCATATCAGGTTACAGGGGCAAGCTGCCCAATGACAAAGTTAAGCTGAAATCAAATTCCCAACTTTCCAACTCACTTAAAATAAGTATATGATTAAGTGTCACCCACAAAAAAAGAAAGCATACTCACTGGTTATTTTAGACCAGAAGATATTTTAGCAAAGCGGGAAAGACAAATCAACTGTTTAAATGTCACAGAAAAAGTTAAGGAAAGCATTTGAACTTGACATGATCATAAATTTTATTTTGCTAATTATGAATAAATATATGATTTTCAGAGTCATTGTATCTTTTAATACAACTTGACATTGTTTCTCCTTAAAAGGACCAATTTGAACTATGCCTTTTCTGATAATGAGAAAAGAACAATTTCATGATATCTGTTTACATTCTGGAACTGAAAATTAACCTAAAATCTGTTTTTTTTGTGTGTGGGGGGGGGCTGGGTAGGGGGTGGATTGTGTGGTTTGCTTTTGGAGGATTCAATAGAAAATATACAGAACTCAGGGCCAAAATATTTGGGTTCTAATATTACCTCTACTGCTAACTAGCTTGTAATCTTAGTATTTAAAGTTTTATAGGCGGTCTTTGGTTTCCTTTTCATATAAAAATATTATGACCTTAACATGTATTTAAACTACTGAGCTGGAGATAATGACGAACAATAAAATTCTCCTTTCCTTTGAGATGGTGTAATAGTGTAGGAGGATTATTGATTGAGGTATTTAGTGAATGTTTTACTCCTTTCTGTTGCTTTCAATAGATAACCAGGACCTTTGTGAACCTTACCTTAGGGATTTGGGCGGGAATGTAGAAGCTTCCCCAGATTGACTGTTCTTCCTGTCTCTTAAAGTCTAAACTCTTTGAAGGGATTATTCTAGTGTCTCAGAAAGAAGGAAGAGAAGAGAATTTCTGAGGGCAAAAAGAGAGAAAGGAGGAAATTCTCTCAGGCTGGAAACAGGACATAGGTTGGTGGGTTCTCAGAAGAACAAGACACCACATGTGCTTTAGGGTGCTCTGAGCATATGCAGCCAGTCAGCAACATTCAGTTTCAGGCATTCGGAGTCCCAGGGTCTTACCTAGCACCAAAGCATCAGGGAGGTGCTCTTGGTCATTGGACAACCTATGGACCCTGTTCATATGACTCCTTTAGAGCTGGAGTGCTTCCTTATTCTTAGGGCTTGGAATCTCTGGCAAAGCTGAGGATAAATGGAAACACCAGCCCAGTTGGATTGGGGCTCAAATAGGTTTTAAGTTATTTTTTTAAAAGAATGTTTTCTGCACATCTGCATTTGTGGAGTAGGATTCACATCTGCTTTACTAGCAGTAAAACTTTAGTGAAGATAAATTCTAGATTTCCAATTTCTAGAGCTTTATTATTATTATTTTTAATATGTTCAGTTCATTCTGTCTATAGGACAAAACATTTATTTGAAGTAATGAGGAAGGGTAAGAAGGGATGGAGGTGGTGGTGATATATTTAAAGAAAAATGGTTGTTCAAATTACACCATAAAGACAGCTATCTCTTCCTTATCCACTCACAGGTCCAGCCCTAATAAAAACCATCAAATTAGATAAGATATGCATAAATTTTAAACTGTTTTAGAAGCCGACTTCTAACCTAACAGATCAATTATTTAAAACATAATTCAATCTAATCATCAGTGTCCAAAATATACAGCTCTAGTCTATTATCAGTCATTAAAATACAATTGATCCTCGTTATTCTGTATTTGTAAATTTACCTATTTGCTAAAATTTATTTGTAATCCCTAAGTCAATATTTATGGTGCTTTTGTGGTCCTTCACACTTGTGCATGAAGTAATAGAAATTTGAGTTACCTAATGGCACATCTCCCACTGAGGTTGAACAAGGTCACATTCTGCTATATTTCAGCTTTCATACTAAAAAAGCATCCTTTTTGTGGTTTATATACTGCTATTTTGTTTTTACTTTTGTGCTTTTCGTTGGTGATTTTGCTATTTAAAATGGTTCCAACCTTAGTGCTGAAGTGCTGACTTGTGTTCTAAATGCAAGAAGGCTGTAATATGTACTTAATGCCACTATACTGTACATATAAAAATTGTTAAAATGGTAAGTTTTATGTTATGAATATTTTACTACAATTTTTTTTAAAAGGCAGGTGTGATATCCCTTAAAGAGAAAATACATGTGTCATGTGTTAGATAAGCTTCATTCAGGCATAAGTAACATGCTGTGGCCATGAGTTCAGTGTTAATGAATCACCAATATATTTTAAAGATGGCATCTTGAAGTGGAAACACACATAAAACAAGGTTATGTACCGACCAGTTGAAGAAAAGGTTGTAAACAGAGGCTTGTAGGAACCTAATCCTGTATTTCTCCTAGGAGCAACGGTTCAGTACTTGCTAATTGTTTATGGCAACTTTACAGAATATAACATGAGTAAAGAGAATTGAGTGTAACTGGCTTAGATCAGGTGCTATAGGGTCAACCTGCAAATGTGCAAATTGTCCATAAAGATACAACTGTAAAAGAATTTTAATATCTTAACTTTTTGTAACATTTTCTAATTTCTCATTGTTGGTACAATTTTGAAACCATCTATGATTAAACAAAAAAAAAAGGACCTAAATAATGAGAGATCAAAATATGTTTGAATGGGACAGTATCTCAAAATGGTCTAGCACCTCAAACTTCTGTATTATTTTTCTCTATTGCTTTGGAATAGCACAGATGCCATGTCTTCTTTCTTTACTTCCTTGAGGTCTCTGTTCATGTGCTATCTTATAGATGAGGCCTTCTCTGACCAGCCTTTATATATAGCAATCCCCTCCAACTCCCATGCCCTTTACTTTGCTTTAGTTTCTTCTACAGCTCTTATCAGCATCTGATATATATATATTTGTTGCTTATTGTTTGTCTCCTCCAACCAGAGAGTAACAGCCTCCATAAAGGCAATGCTTTATACTTGGAACCTAGAACAACGTCTGACACATAGCAGGCACTCAATAAGTATTTGCTAAATAAATTACTAAATTAAAAAATAAATGAGTGAATTCATAGGAGCTTAATGCACAGTAAAAATTAATCACATCCGGCATTAGATAATATGAGATTAAAGGCATAAAATAATTCAGAAACTATCTTTGCTTCTAAAACATCTTTTAACTAAGACAAATTTGGAACTGATTGCCTATTAACTACATTTTGTGCTAAAGAAAGGTTGGTCTCACTCAATTGTAAGTTGTCAAAAATCCATATTTATGAAATAGAGGAAATAGAGGATTTTTGTCAATATAAAAAAGCGTTTTCCTTTAAAAATGGTTTTGTTTCAGGAATTCTTTAGATAGTAAGTTTCCTTAGAATATAGCAAGTATGATTTACAGAAAAAATATAAATTTACAAAAAATTTTAGGCTTATATCTGCTAACAGAGGTAGTACTATTTTTGTAAATTCAAACTTCAGATAAATTGTCGATGCCTCTTTCATATTTCCATCCTATCGAGGGTGCTACTTCCCATACTCTCTATTTGAATCAGCATGTGAACTGGTTTCTTATCAAATGGTTAAGCTATGATGAGAGTTTAATTTTATTTGAATGGATATGTATCAATATCACTGTGACAAAAATGATATCACTACATAGTGTTGGCACATATCAGCACATACACACATACCAAATTCATCTATATAATAATCCATACAGCACAGATTATCTGTCTTCCTCTTACCCTAATAAATAAAATGTATCCATCCATAAATTAGAATGATGCCATGGACACCAAAACTTCCAAAACTATATACTATACCTGTGTGAATCGGTCACATTCAACAATGCGGAAAGTTTTGCCATAAATTGTGATGTTTATTCCTCGATTTAAGTCTTTCCAATGGTAATGGTCTCCCTGGTCATTCTTGGCTAGCCGTTGGCGTTTGATCAACTTGCCTTGAGGGATCCCAGAGTTTTCCACAACGGGCTCTATGACAGACATGCTGTCATCTTCTAGGTAGTAGTAAATATTCACTTGCCGGATTCTATAATGTTCCTCAGTTGACATAGGAACATCTTCTTGGAAATAGGCATCAAATTTCAGCACCTATAATACATAAGGGAAGGAGATATGGCATTGCATTAGTTTCTCATCTAAAAAAATATCAAGTACTCTCCTATAAAGAGAATCACTCAGGGAGATTTGAATATTCATCACTTCTGTCTTCTCAAAGGTTGCCAAACTATGATCCATGGGACAAATCTACCCCTTTCATCTGTTTTCATATACAAGCTAAGAATTTTTTTACATATTTAAATGGTTAAAAAAATCAAAAGAATAAAATTTCACTACACATGAAAATTAAATGAAATTCAAACTTCAGTATCCACAAATAATTATGTAAATAATACTTATTTGCTAATGGCTGTTTTCCTATTGTAAGAGCAGAGTTGTCAGCAGTTGTGATAGAGGCCACGTGGACTGCTACCCTACCTTTGCCCCATTCATATATTGAAATCCTAACCCTCAATGTGACTATATTAGGAGATAGGGTCTTTATGAAGTAATTAACCTTAAATGAGGTTTTAAGGGTGCAAAGAAGATCCTGTAATGGGCAGACAGTGCTATAATTTCAAGAAAATAAGGAAAATAAATCTTGTGTGATTGAAACACAGTGGCTGATGCATTAAAAAAAAATGTTTAACTAGTGATTATTGATGTAAATGGTATAGTTCCACCACCAGACTGTTCTGTATCTTCAAGCCTCTAGCTTCAATAGGAACTCAATAAAAGTTGACTAGTTGGATACAAATGGTCTAAAATTTAACAAAAATAATAAAATAAAAAGGCGAAAAATAGGCTAGGAGTAAATTAGGAAACCTAGCTTATAAAAATTGGTCAGTAGTTCTAGACCTAGCTATATATAAAAATCATCTGGAAATCAGAATCGATGAGGACCGAGGAAGCATCTAAGTTTTTTATTCCTGTTTAGACAAAAAAAGTGTAGCTCACGTAGGAATGCTACATTTTCTAGGATTTGACATTTTCTGCAATCAAACTACTAAAAACAGAATACTATAAATAGAATGATGTCATTTGTTTCCAAAGACTATCGATATACTATAGCAATGCGAAAATAATAATAAAAGTGAAATATTTCATGGCAAACTTTAAAGGTACAGTTAGGACTGTAATCTGCGAGTTATCTCGGGGCAAATGGGAAAAGGGTTAAAAGTCCCACCAGTGATTCTGCTATATGGCCAGGATGCGGACTGCTTCTGCTTAGTGAAAAGAAGAGGCTCGCTGACAAGGAAAATCAAGGATGATGTAAAAATGTCAACAGATGGAAATAAGGTAACTCACGTTACAAAAGCATAAGGGTAAATAAGACACAAACAAATATGTTATGCTCCCTCTGGTTATGTTATGTCAAACCTGAAATGTTCCCTGAAAAACAAAAGCTTATAGAGACAGCCTGGAAAAAACTGACAAAAGATGGAGTTGTCATGATGACATTTTGCTTTTCGTAAAGATTAAGGATTTGTCATCATTACAGAATATAAAACTTTTTAAAAAATAGAAAACACAGAGAGGAAAACAAAGCAATATGAACTGAAGAATTCAGAATTCATCCAAATTTCTTTGACTATATTTGGAAAATATTTCAATGAAGTCTATGGGGAATTATTTTCTGTAACTGGCTTCTTGACTAAAGAAAGGCTCTTTCAATCCTAAATTCAGCTGTCTATGACTAAAGGTTAAGGCATTTGAATAATTTTCTTCTCAAAGCACTCTGGAAAACCTGGGGTTTATTGTTGAGTTTTCTAGAAACTGTTGGCTCTCAGAAATTTGAATTCAACAGATATCCTAAAATCCCAGATGATACCTTTTTGTCAAAAGCTACGTGCGCAGGAATAAAATCTGCAGGTGGGGCTTGCCTCGGTTGGCCATAAGTTAGAATTGGTGTCTTACTGGCCAACTCATCCAGGTCAGCCTGGGACAGCTGGTTGACTGGGAGTCGGTCCCCGCCTATCCCAACTGTTGGACGTCGAGCAATCGCATAGCCGTTCCTGTAGCCCAGTGTCTGGCTTCTATGAAATGCTGTTTTCTGAAGAAGAAAAGAAGTGTGTCATTAATCAAGTCTGTTAGGTAAAAGAGCTAACTTTCAAAAATATCATAATTTAAACCTTTGCTGATAGACACCACAAACCTCATATCCAAAAATTTACCTATATTAGAAGGTTCTTGTATTTTAAGCTAAAACACCTGGCCAGGAACAAGGAGGGAAGCACTGTCCTGTGCTTAAAACTTAAAGCCTTGCTCTGGGACACCTAATTAATTAGTTGCTCACTTTTCAAGAGAAACTAAAATAATTAGTTTTTAAATTTAGTTCCTTAAAATCTTAATTAGTTTTAGTTTCTTACTATCTTAATTTTTCACTAGTTTTTCCATGTTTTTTGTCTTATCTGGTGGCCATAAACCATGGAACCTTAGGTCTGGTTCTGTGAAATCAATTTTTACCTAAGTGAAAGACCCTTCTTGTTATAATGACACTCACATTGTATATGTTACAACATAACATTCACATGTTAGGACTCTGGAAAGAAAGTAGATGTTTATATTTAGGGTCTTGAATTCAGTATTTTCACTTGATCCTTTATTTTAAGGATATAATCCAAAATTATGAGAAAGAACAATGTGCCTAAAACTGACCATTGTAATGTTAATTACAATAGTAAAAACATTAGGAACAATAAAAAAGACAAACGTGAATAAATGATAGAAAACTCAGTGGACTATTATGCAGTCATTAAAATATTGGTTTTAAAGACCATGTGGCAACCTGGTCTTTAAAATGTTTAAAATGTTTGATTTAATAAACCTAAAAAAGCAGCATATAAAATTATACGTGTTCTATAATTCCAAGCATACAAACATGTGCCTAAAAAGAGACTGGATTTGGAGAATGTTCTCTGTTTATATTATACATTTCCAAATTATGCTGATTTTCCTTTACAATGAAGACATTTTTATTGGCAATTGGAAACAACTAAAAGATTAAATTAAAAAAGAAAAAAGTGTAAAGGAAATATTTTTGAAGGCACAGGGGACCAAAATGGCAACAGTTTCCCCATCCTTTCACAAAGATCAATGCTTAGGCAGCTATCAATGAACAAAAACAGTTCTGGAAGAGCTCTAGAATCCACTTAGGTGTTAGCAACATAGTAGAACAAAGAATCTGAAAATAATCTAGCACAAGAAGAGAAGGAAGACAACTTCATTTTGCCTGTATTATCCCATCCCCCAAATTGGCATTGTTCAGCTCCAAGAGGGAACCTCCCAGCTATAAAGAGTTCTCTTCACCAGAAAAGGAAAAGAGGATGAGCAACCAGCTTCTCTAGTCTTTTGAGGCACTAAATGAAGGTCTCACTTCAGTTTCACTCCACCCAGGCCAGCAAAGCTGAAGTATATAAAGCTAGCTAGGAACAGGGAAGAAAAGCAGGGGCTTCTGGTAGCAGCCACTCAGTGGGAGTGATTGCAGTTCACAGAGAATTTCCCAGTGGACAAACCCAGCAGATTTTGCCACTTCCTGGAAGCCAATAGCAAGTATAACTACGGCAGCAGTATATCCCCTGAAGATTTCACCAGCTTTTCACTCACGAGTATTCATGTTTGCTGACATGAGCTACTTGAGGCCCTCCCCTCTCTCTATTCCCTGTCCCTGCTAGAGGTCAGGAAATACACCAGTAGCCAGCTCAGGTCTCTGTAGCTGCTCAAGTGCAAGATGCCAGCACAGGCACACTGCCCCGGCTGACCTCTAGTGTTGTACATGAGTTTGGAGCTAGCCCCTCCAGCTGTGTACCTGCATGTAACTGACCTGACTCCCATCACAGGCCTCCACGGCAGTGTGCATGCCTGGTGGAGAGTGTTCCCCCTGTGCAGCCATGGGATAGCATACTTATAATCAGGGCCTCTGCAGCTGCCAGTGAGCCCATAGTTGCTCTGAGCCCTTGCTGCCTACTCTGGCCCCCACCACTACGTGTGTGTCTGCAAACAGCTCCTGTAGCCAACTGCTACTGCCACCTGCAGCTGAGTATATGCACACCACTGTCTGTGGCCACCGCTGCTACTTGCCTTGGTCCCTAGCTGCTGGACCTAGACGTGTCGGTGAAGACCCCAACAGCCCTTGCAGCCAGTGTAGATCCCCTGCAGTGCCTGTCAAGGCCCACACAGTTGTCAATGCCGTAGACTCTCATGGTCTGAGCTGAAGAGGCATCATGCCCACCCCATTCCCTGCCAGACCCGGTGCCACACAAACTCACAATTGGTGCCCTTTACCACTAGACCTAGAATCACAGTGTACTTCAGCACACCCCACATGCAGGTGAAACTCTTCCCTTACTAAAATCAGTCCACAAATTTTGGCAGAGGTGACTGCTTCTTCAAATGTGAATACACCTATGTAAGACTACAGCAATTATGAAGAATCAGGGAAACATAACTCTATCAAAAGAACACAGTAAACCTACAGTCACTGGCCCCAAAGAAATGAAGAACGAGAAACTACTTGACTAAACAAAAATCAAAATAACTCAGAGAGCTATGAGAACACATATAAAACAATTTAATGATATCAGGAAAACTAAAAGAGCAAAATAAGAAGTTTAACAAAGAGATAGAAAACATTTAAAAGAACCAAATAGAAATTTTGGAGCTGAAGAATAAAGTGATTGAACTGAAAAATTCAATAGTAGCTTTAAAGAAGACTTGAATAAGTGTATGAGACTTACAGGACACCGACAAGAGAAATAATGTATGTATCATTGGAATCCCAGAAGGAGAAGAGAAGGAAAAGAGAAGGAAAAAGGGGTAGAATATTTATTTATAAAAATAATGGCTGAGAATTCCCCAATGCTGGGGAGAAAGTTGGTATATAAGTTCATGAAGGTATTTTAATAAAAAATTATCTTCTCCAAGACACATAATAATAAAACTGTCTAAAATCAAAGACAAAGAGAGAATTTTAAAAACAGTAAAAGAAGAAAAAACCTCTCATACAAGGGAAACTCCATAAGGCTATCACAGGATTTCTCAGCAGAGACCATGCAGGCCAGGAGATAATGAAATAATACATTCAAAGTGCTGAAAGAAATCAATGCTAACCAAAAATATGTTACCCAAAAAGTTGTGCTTTTAAGACAAGGATGTCCACTTTCACCACTTTTATTCAACATGGTACTGGAAGTCCTAGCTACAGCAATCAGACAAGAAAAAGAAATAAAAGACATCCAAATTAGAAAAGAAGTAAAACTGTCATTATCTGAAGATGATATGATTCTATATCTACAGAATCCTAAAGATTCCACTAAAAATGGTTAGAACTGATAAATGAATTCAGTGAAGTAGTGGGATACAAAATTAATATTCAGAAATTGGTTGCATTTCTATATATCATAATAAACTATCAGAAATAGAAATTAAGAAAACAATCCCATTTACAATTGCATCGAAAACAAAATACCTAGGAATAAATTTAACTAAGGAAGTACAAGATCTGTACTTGGCAAATTATAAGTCATTGAAGAAAGAAATTAAAGAAGATACAAATAAATGGAAACATATATAGTGTGCATGGATAGGAAGAATTAAGATCGTTAAAATATCCACACTACTCAAAGCAATATACAGATTCAATTGAAACCATATCGAAATATCAATGGCATTTTTCACTGAATTTGGAATAAATAATCCTAAAATTTATATGGAACCATAAAAGACCCCGAATAGCCACAACAATCTTGAGAAAGAAGAACGAAGTTAGAAGTAACATGCTACCTGATATCAAACAATACTACAAGGCTATAGTAATTGAAACAGCATGGTACCAGCATAAAAATAGACACATAGATCAATGGAACAGAATAGGGAGCCCAGAAATAAACCTACGCCTAAATGGTCATTTAATCTATGACAAAGGGTGCAAGAATATACAATGGGGTAAAGACTACCTATTCAATAAATGGTGTTGGGAAAACTGCATAGATACAAGGAAAAAAATGAAACTGGACCACCTCCTTATACCAGAGAAACTCACAATGGATTAAAGACTTAAATGTAAGACCTGAAACCATAAAACTCCTACAAGAAAACATAGGCACCAAACCCTCTGACATTGCTTTCAGTATTATTTTTTCTGATATATATCCTAGGGCAATAAAAACAAAAGAAAAAATAAACAAACGGGACTATATCAAACTAAAAAGTTTTTGCACAGCAAAGGAAACCATCAACAAAATTAAAAGACAATCTACTGAATGGGAAAAGATATTTGCCAATGATACATCTGATAAGGGGTGAATATCCAAAATTTATAGAGAACTCATACAACTCAAAATCAAAAAAACAAACAATCCAACTAAAAAATGGGCAAAGGACCTAGAATAAGCATTTCTCCAAAGAGGACATTCAGATGGCCAACAGACATACAAAAAGACTCTCAACATCACTATGCTCAGAGAAATGCAAATAAAAACCACAATGAGATATCACTTCACACCCATCAGCATGGAAATCATCAATAAATCAAAAATCAACAGCATTGCCAAGGATGTGGAGAACAGGGAACCCTCGTGCACTGTTGGTGGGATGGCAAACTGGTACAGCCACTGTAGAAAAGAGTTTGGAGGTTCCTCAAAAAAATTAAAAATAGAACTACCTTATGACTCAGCAGTTCCACTTCTGAGTATTTACCTGAAGAAAACCAATACACAAATTTGAAAAGATACATGAACTCCTATGTTCAATGCAGTGCTATTTACACTAGCCAAGATATGGAAGCAACCTAAGTGCCCAACAATAGATGATTGGATAAAGGAGAGATGGTACATATATATAATGAAATATTACTCGGCTATAAAAAAGTGAAATCTTACCAATTGCCAACATCATGGATGGACCTAGAGGGTATCATGCTAAGTGAATTAAGTCAGACAGAGAAAGGCAAAGACCACATAATTTCACTTCTATGTGGAATAAGGAACACATGAACAAAGTGAAAACAGACTCACAGATACAGAGAACAAACTGGTGATTGCCAGATGGGAGCGGGGTAGGAAGGCTGGGTTTAAAAGGTGAAAGCGTTAAGAAGTACAAATTGGTAGTTACCAAGTAGTCATAGGGATGTGAAGTACAGCATAGGGAATATAGTCAATAATATTATAATAACTATGTATAGTGCAAGGTGGGTACCAGACAAATTTGGGGGAATCATTTCATAAATTATATAAATATCTAATCACCATGAGGTAATGTCTACTCTAATTGAAAAATAAAAATAAAAAAAAAGAAAAGTTGTGCTTCAGAAATGAAGGTGAGATAAGACTTGCCCTAATAAGCAAAAGATGAGGGAATTCATCACCACTAAACCTGCCTTATGAGAAATGCTGAAACAAAAAGGTATTATTAGTAACATGAAAATATACAACACACAAGTAAAGGTAAGCATAGTCAGATTTAGAATACCCTAATATTGTAATATGGTGATGTGTTAACTACTTAACTCTAGTATAAAGGTTAAAGGACAAAAGTATTAAAAACTGCTATAGCTTCAACAATTTGTTAATGGATACACAAAATAAAAAGATGTAAATGGTGACAACAGAAACATAAAAGAAGGGGACTAAAAGGGTAAAGTTTTTGTATGTGATTAAAGTTTGTTATCAGCATAAAATAGACTGTTATATGTTTTATGTAAGCCTCATAGTAACCACAAAGCGAAAGCCTACAATAGAGTCACAAAAGATAAAGAGAAGCATATCACCGTGGAAAATCATCAATTCACAAAGGAAGGCAGCAAGGGAGGAAGAAATGAACAAAGAAACTACAAAACCACAAGAAAACAATAAGATGGCCTCAGTAAGTCCTTATCTATCAATAATTACTCTAAATGCAAATGATTAATATTTCCAATCAAAAGGCAAACTGGAATTTTAAAAAATCCACAAGACCCAACTATATGCTACCTGCAAGAGACTCACTTCAGAGATTTAAGGACACACATAGGCTAAAAGTGAAGGGATGGAAAAAGATATTCCCCGTAAGTGGAAACCAAAAGAGAGCAGGGGTAGCTGTACTTACATTGGACAAAATAGACTTTAAGCTAAAAAACAGTAACAAGAGACAAAGATAGTCATTATACAATGATGAGGTCAATTCATCAAGAAGATATAACAATAGTAAATATGTATGTACCTAACCTCAGAGCACCTAAATATATTAAGGAAATACTAACAGATCTGAAGAGAGAAATATAATAAGAGAGAAATATAATAATAGAAATATAAGAAAAGAGAGAAATATAATAATAATAGCAGGGGACTTCAATACTCTACTTTCAACAATGGATAGATGAGTCAGATAGGAAATCAACAAGGAAACCTTAAACTTGTACTATACTTTAGGTCAAATAAAACTAACATACATATACACATACATTTACATATACATATACAGAATAATTCATCCAACCGCAACAGAATACATATTCTTCTAAAGAACACTGAGAATGTTCTGCAGAATAGATCATAAAATAGGTCACAAATCAAGTCTCAGCAGGTTCAAATCATACCAAGTATCTTTTCTGACCACAATGATATAAAATAACAGGAAGAAAGCTGGAAAATTCACAAATATGTGGAAATTAAACAAAATACCCTCTGAATAACCAATGGGTCAAAGAAAAATCAAAAGAAATCAAAAAATACCTTGAAACAAACAAAAATGTAAGTACAACGTATGAAAATCTATGGGATGCTGCAAAAGTACTTCTGAGGGAATTTTTTTAGTGGTAAATGCGTGCTTTAAGAAACAAGAAAGATCTATATGTATGGTGCCAGACGGGTATTAGACTTACCAGGGTGATTACTTTGTTAGATACAAAAATGTCTAATCCTTATGTTGTACACCTGAAACTAATAAAATATTGTATGCCAACTGTAACTAAAAAATACATTTTTAAAAAATTTTAAAAGAAACAAGATGTCAAATAAACCAACTCACTTTACACTTCCAGAAACTAAAAAAAGAAGAGCTCTAAGCACAAAATTGGCAGAATGAAGGAAATAAAGATCAGAGCAGAAAGAAATGAAATCAAGACTAGAAAAATGAAAGAAAATATCAACAAAAATAAGAGCTGTTTTTTTGAAATGAGAAACAAAATTGACAAATCTTTAATTAAACTAAGAAAAAAGAAAGGACTCAAACAAAAACAGAAATGAAAGGAGACATTACAACTGATACCGCAAAAATTCACAGGATCATGAGACTACTACTTACAGGTATATTCCAACAAACAGGACAACTGAGAAGAAATGGATAAATTCCCAGAAATATACAACCTACCAAGACTGAATCATGAAAAAATAGAAAATCTGAACAGACCAATAATGAGAAGATTGAATCAGTAATCAAAAATCAAACAACAAGAAAAGTCCGGGACCTGATGTTTTTCGCTGGTGAATTCTACCAAACATTTAAAGAATTAATGCAAATCTTTCTCTAACTCTTCCAATAAACTGAAGAGGAGGGAACTCTCCCAAACTTATTTCACAAGGCCAGCATTACCTGATAACAAAACCAGATAGAGACACTATAAGTAAAGCAAATTACAGACCAACATCCCTGATGCAAAAGATGCAAAAGTTATCAACAAAATATTAGCAAACCAAATCCAATAGCTTATTAAAAGGATCACACACCATAATCAGGGATTTATCCCTGTGATGCAAGGATAGTTCAACTTAAACAAATCAATAAATGTAATACACTACATTAATAGAATGAAAGATAAATCATATGATCATCTCAATAGATGGAGAAAAAGCAACACAACATGCATTCACGATAAAAAAAAAAAACCTCAACAAACTGGGTACAGAAGGAACATAACCCAACTTAGCAAAGGTCATAGACGACAAGTACTTAGAGAACATCATACTCAATGGTGAAAGGTTGTAAGCTTTTCCTCTAAGATCAGGAACAAGACAAGGATGTCCTCTCACACCATTCCTATTCAACAGAGTACTGGAAGTCCTAGCCTGAGCAATCAGACTAGAAAAAGAAATAAAAGGGCATCCAAGCAGTAAAGAAAGAAGTAAAACTCTCTTTGTTTGCAGATGATATGATCTTATATTTGGAAAACTCTAAAAGCTCCACCCTAAAAACTATTAGAACTAATCAACAAATTCAGTAAAGTTGGAAGATAGAAAATCAAGACACAGAAATCAGTTGTTTCTATACATTAACAATGAAATATCTGAAAAAGATTTTAAGAAAACAATCTCATTCACAACAGCATCAAAAATAAAATATTTAGGAATAAATTTAACCGCAGAGGCAAAAGATCTGTACACTGAAAACAACAAGACTGATGAAATTAAAGAATACACAAACAAATGGAAAGATACTCTGTGTTCATGGCTGGAAATTTTAATATGATTAAAATGTTCATAAAACCCAAAGCAACCCATAGATTCAATGCAACCTCTACCAAAATTCCAGTGGCATTTTTTCACAGAAATAGAGCCTGCCACCTCCAGCCCACACTCCTGTAATTCCCCAAGTCAACTCAACCCTGCATTGTGGGTAACCCACACTTACCAACACCAAATGCTTAGGCTGCTCCTGCACAGAGCAAGAATGTACCCACAACATTTTCCAAATTACATAAAACTGAAAAGTCCACTGAAGTGAAACATCTATAATGCTGTGTCTTAATACAGGAATAATTCTGAAGAAGAGACTCAGAATCCAAAGTCCCTCCCCAAACCTTCAATATTTATTAATTCTTGTAAAGAAAATAAATCGACTACATATTTTATCTTAACTTTATGACCATGGAGAGGGACCTACATCTTAAATTATTAAACTATATAAATATAAATTATGGTCTCATCTATGATAATCAGTCTACTGAATCTCAATATTGATCTTCCAACATATATTTCAGTAACCCTGTTAGAATTAAAACAAATACTAAATAATTCTGTCAAAGGCTAAACTATGTTAGGAGAAAAAAAGCTTTTCCCCCCTCTCTTCAGTTTTGTCTAGAGAATGCACCTAAATATACTTACGGTAGGGAAGGAGCAAAACAAAATCTAAACAGGAATCTCTAAAAAAATTGTTAGAGTGTAAAGTATAGGGCTGAAGGAAGAAAAAATTACCAACTAATCAACTGTGATCGAAGGAACTGTAATGGAATTATCTCCTAAGAAGCAGAGAAGGATAGTTTGAGAGGAAGATGGGCAAGTATTTAAAGCCTAACTTTGGAGAAACAATTGAGAAAGAAGATAAAAAATAAAATAGGAATGGAGAGAAGGTGGGACCAAATTGTAGAAAAAACAAAAGTGCTGGAAGGACCTTGCAGAAAGAAGAGGAGTGAAGGCGTCCAATATACGGCCAGGATGGAGTGGAAAAACTAGAGAGAGATGGAGCGAAGTACAAAGTACAGAAGACAGAGGATGAGGCTGAGTGGGGGAGGACGAGAGAACTGCATTGCGGCAGGGAAGAGAGACTAGGGTCCTAGCAGAGGAGGGGTTAGAAGGGAGAGGACAATCTTGGGTGGAGGAAAACGGAAGTGCACTAAGGGGCGAGCCCTCCGAGGGCACCCGGGGACTGGGACAGGTGGGGGAGGAGCGGATAAGTCCTCACCGTGGAGTTTGTAAAAGACGTGCCCGGAAGAAAGGGCAGACCGTGCAAGGGGTTGGACATCGTCGCAGCAACCTGCTATCGCGGCGTCTACCCGGGACCGGTTTTGTCCTACCCGGTTGCCTGGGCGACGAGCCGCGTTCGCGTGCCACCTGAAGCTCCATGGCAACGCCAAACTTCCCAAGCTCCCGCGAGCGGTGGGCGGGGCCTGAGGAGCCAGTGTGACAGGTCTGCGCGTGCGCCGCCCACGGGACTCAGCATTCTCGCGGTAAGGCGGGCTCTACGAAAGGGGCGTGGTTAGTGGGCGTTGCGGAGCTGGCTCCGCCTTTCCTCTCTCCAGACTTTGGGACGTGGGAGCTGGTGGGTGGGGTGGGAGGCGGGTTATTTAAAGGAGACAGTTGTCTCAGTGAGGTTCGGGGATCAGAGCGGACGCGTGGATGAATGAAAGGGAAGTTGCTTTTTTCCCATCACTTCAGCGCTAACCGCGCCCCGCCGACGTCGTGAGCTCAAGCACTCTTTTCTCCCACTTCTGGGAAAAGGGCTTTCGTCCCCGTTCACACTGAAGTGTAAATGGTTGGTTCCATTGAAAGTGTTACCTACCCTGGTGGTGCTTCCTGCGGGCAGGGACTGCGGATCATTCATATTTGCATCTGCGTTGCTTAAGGATGTTCAATGAACTAATACAACCTTCTTGGCCTTAATCCTCCCACTGCTGCGATATCTTTTTTTCCACCCTTACCTTTCTTTATTCTACTGTCATCCCCTGCAGTTCTTCATCCTCAGAGTTTTTACAGGCCGGGACTTGCATATTTGTCTCTGGACACTCAATACTTGTTGAGTGCAGAGTTACTGGGTGCTCATCTCAATTCTCCTGATCTCTATACCTGCGAGCATTTGCAATGATCAGAACCCAAGGGAAAATACTCTTTCAAAGAGAAAACTAAGAAGATTCACAAATGAGGTGAAATACTGTCAGGATCATAGGTTTCTCACTTTTGTTGCTGTTTAAAAGAAAACAATCCTGTTTCTGAAACATTTTCAGGAAAGAAAAAAAAAACCTATTCATAGCACTAAGAAGTTTAAAAATAAAAATAAAAAGCAAACAAAACCTTGGTGCCGAGACACTGGATCCATTAGGTCTGAAATGGAGCCCAGGAATCTGATTTTTGTAACGGCTATTTCTGATAATGTAAACAATAATATAAACAAAGCCACTTTGAAATGGAGCTGGAGATGCCATGCCAGAGGAAATGCCTTGCACGTCTTATGGTCTTAAGTCTCAAATTTTTGGAATGTTAAAACAGGGCAGAATAACCTTTGGATAAGGCCTAAGTAACCTTGTGCCTTGCCAAAGAACTTTGCAAAGATAACAGAAGTAGTTATGATTACTGCAGTGATGACTACTGGACTGCAAATTAAAAATATTGTTTAGGATTAACATCACTGTCATGTTATCTGTACCAATAGAAATGCCTTCCTTTTATTGGTGTAATTGTTCCCCTTTCCTTTCTCATAAATATCTATTGCTTTTGTCTCCCAATCAGAACTTTATTTGGTCTTCTGCTTGAATTAATGATGCCTGAATAGCTATTGTTATTCATCTCAATAAATCTTGTTGCCTCTCACTTTGAAAGGCCTTTTTATTTTTAGGTTAACAGTATTGAGCCAGTTTAGGAATATGATAGAGTAGCAAACCTGATACAGAAAGCGTATCTCTGTGTCATGAGTAGTTTACTGCCAATACAGACAGCAGCTTTTGTTTTATTACTGCTTGTCAGAGCAAATCCCCATCTTGGGTTTCACTAATGAGCATAAAGCTCAGGGGGCCTAAGACATGAATCCACTAGTAGCACCTAAAACAGTTATTGGTGGCTGTCTCCTACACCATGCCTGAAGAGTTTCTTTTCTACGAACTGTTCCTCTCCCCTTACTACATTTCTGTCTCGTTCTTGTCCCATCCCTTATTTTTTTATCTTTTTAAATTTTAATGTCTATTGTTAACATTACCTTAATATAGGCATTTAATACATTTTAAAAATATTAATGAATTAATTTGCATTGTTGAAGTTACTGAAAACTTTTAAGTATCTATCTATTGCATTATATCTTAGCAACTGACCTGGGATGGAAGCCAGCCATCAGGAGAATATTTCAAGTTGGAAAGTTCACACTTCAAAAAGAAAATACCCCTCCCACTTCTCCGCCCTTCCCCTACTGATGCTGAGTACCCAGAATCCCTGGTAACTATAATCCTTGCTTACTCTTCATATAACCTTAAACTCTTATGATCCCTCCCTCTATTCTCTTAATAAAAAGTAAATCCATAGCATTGGGATACACTTCGAAGAGCTCTTCTGGACTAAATGCATGGGTTGCACTGTGGTTTGTATTCCCTGGATTGGGCGGGGAAGGAACACATGGGGGCTGGAAAGGGTGAGTCATGCCTAAGCCTATTGTCCATTGTGTCATCTGTTTCTATTTGAGGAGTGCCCTCTACTCAAAAGGCTTTCTTTCCCAGAAGAACACACTAGTTAAATGGTTAAGAGAGTATGTTTAACTACTTTTGGACCCTAGAAAAGCAGAGTGAAGAAAAGTTCTCGGTGTATTGTATCATAAAAATGCCACCACCTCTGATGAGAAGAAGCCAGGCAGTGTTGCATCAGTGTTAAAAAGCACAGGGACAGGGCTGTGGAGAAGGAAGAAAAACAAAACAAAAAAAAAAACAGGCAGGGCTTCAGAAAACTGGTAGACTCCTGATAAGTTTTAGTATCATTAAGGGTTTACATCCCATTTCTCCCCAACATGACTACTCAAGATGCATTGCACTTCAATCTGAACTCACTATTTTTCACTTTGTGGACCATATAGAAGGCAGGAAGCTTACCATCCCTGGCAGCGAAAATAGAAAGTGCCACGATTTGAAGACTATGCATAAAGCCTGGACTCAGAAGACCACAGAGACATTGCATGACCTTAGCAGGTTGTTTCAAAGCTTGGGGAATGGAAAATATGGAAACTTCAGACTGTCAGAAAGCCAAGCCTAAAAGAGGGCAACATGCTGCTCGATGATATCTCCCAGGGACTCTGAGGAGTGGCAGAAGCTGAAAGCACTTACCTAAAATAAACATTTTCTTTTACAGCGTTTTGCCCACAGCTGACTTTATCCAGAATTTGTTTTCAATCCTGTGACATTATTCTTCGGTACCTAAAATCACAGGACAAATATCAAGCAGACTAGTGTGTGCATGTGCGTGCTCACATGCGCATCCTGGATATTTCTGCAGTGATTCTGGTGCTCTTACTTCCCTCTGCTGGATAAAAATAGTACAGCATGATTTCTGGAAAATAAACCTAATTACACACCTGTAGGTTTGAAAGGGTTGACGGTGTGACTAGTATTTTAATAGGGAGATAAGACTTGCCAGGGAGAGTCTTTCAGCAAGAGTACTACCATTCCCACCACTCCCTCATCTCTAGAATCTCTTATGTAAAAAGAGTGCCTGGTCAGCCACTTTGATCGTTCCAAAGTATATTAAAAAAAGAAAAAAAGAAAAGAAAAAGGAGAGAGAGAGAGAGAGAGCAAGAACAAGAGAGAGAGGCATCCATAGTGATTTCCAAGCAGATTCTGGAGCAGATTCAGGACCCACAGGAAATCTTCATTTGACACAAAATCATTCGTCTATAGAATCTCTTATGTAAAAAGAGTGCCCGGTCAGCCACTTTGATTGTTCCAAAGTATATTAAAAAAAAAAAAAAGGAGAGAGAAAGAGAGCAAGAGAGAGAGGCATCCATAGTAATTTCCAAGCAGATTCTGGAGCAGATTTAGGACCCACAGGAAATCTTCATTTGACACAAAATCACACAATTTGGGTTTAGACTATTTTAGTTTTACAGTGGGCTCCTGCCAAGGGTTTGAAAAAACTTGTTGCTGCTGCGTTTTCCTCCCTTTAGCCACCCCAATCTATGACTCTAGTTGATTCATTTGGAATTTTCTTCCCTCTGAAAAAGCCTATCAAACATTACCCAAGTCAGTTGTGAGAGCTGAGGAGTAGAGACAAGGACCCAGGTGGGCAGTTGCCAAGGTGGGGCCCAGGAGCACTTGCTTCAACAGAGTGGAGCGGGATGGGAAACACATTTAACCACGCTGAAACTGACCGTTCAGACTTTTTTTCTCTGTATTTAACATCCTACCACAGAGGTTCTACTGCATTCGCACTTGCGATAAGCTACACATTAATATTTCCCCTGAATTTATGCTTGAGAGCAGCAAATCTCATTTCTTCCTTTAATGGAATGTAGGTGGGGGGAGAATGGGATCTTCGTGTTCCATTCTCTACCTGTGTTTGCTGTGCGGAGAGACAAAGAGCCACTGGTTAGGGAAAATTGTGTTAATTGCATAGAGAGGTAAACACTGAGCTTGGCCTAGGATGGGGTATTAATTTCCTAGGGCTGCCACAACAAAATAACACAACTGGATGGCTTAAAACAGAAATTTATGTTCTCACAGTTCTGGAGACTACATGTCAGAAATCAAGGTATCAATAAGGCCACACTTTGTCTCCTAGCTTCACTCCTTGGCATTCCTAGGCTTGCAGCTGCATAACTTCAGTCTTGACCTCTATCATCACATGGTTTTCTCTAGTATCTCTTTGCCTTCACAAGGCCATGTGCCTTCACATTCCTTCTGTGTCTCTCTATTCTTATGGACACTAGTCACATTGGATTAAGTTTCCACCCTACTCCAGTATGACCTCCTAACTGCTTACATCTGCAACTACCATTTCCAAATAAGGCCACTTGTTGAGGTACTGGGGGTTAGGATGTCAACATATCTTTTGGGGGGACATAATTCAAGCCATAACGGATGGGAATCAAGAAGTAAAAAAATTAGTGAGTGGAGCAGTGAGATTTCTTCCATAGGCTGAGAACACGTGGGAAC